TTTGCCGTTTTCATTATCCATTAGATCTCTGTTGAGATAGATGCTAACAGCACTTGCAGCAGTCATCAGCACGGGGATCAGAAGGAATGGGATGGGATGTCGAGCAATAACTGTTCCCAAATGGGCATAAAAACTTTTGACGAAATCATTGAAACAAAACGGCTCTTTAAGACCAAATTTTCTAATCCAGTGTTTCTTCATGACTGAATTTCGTCGCCATATGTTTCATTCGAGGATTTCCTGCTCTTCCTATGTCAAACGTTGAACAAATTCCGTCCGTACCTCAGCATTACCACAACCACGAGCGTTCTGCCTTTGCATGAATATTCTTTTGACATCAAATTGCACTCAAGCTGCTTGCAAGGTCTGACATACGCACTCTGGCGGACTCTTTGATAGCCTGGCTAAATCGGTCACCGTTGTCCTGCTAGGCAGAAGTTCAAAAATCGTTGACCTTTCTGTACCGCAAAAGATGTCACCGACGGATTACTTTCAGCAAATTACCGTTCCCAATTACAGACGCCATGACTAGCGCCAACCTTTGTTGTCACGAGTTGGCCTGTCTCGCTTCCGGTCATAAGCTTAATAGCACAGCACTACTCAGTACGCGTAACGAGGTTGGCTTTTTCTGGCCCAATCACTGCACAAACAGCTCGTTAATCAAGTGTCAGGTGTAGTGACCTCGTTTGTTCGTCATTTCATGACGAGGTCTCGAGTAAATGATTTTTGACTCATTGCCTGGGTGTACGATCTTGAACTTTCACACAGCAAGCACGAATGCAGCGAAAGCGCTTCTTTCACAATGTTGTTCCCAAAACTTAGACGAAATCTGAAAGCAGAGTTGCCGTTGTTGATCAATATTACGAGCTGCTATTCATGTGTTGTCGAATCTCTGCTAGCACAACTTGCATCCCCCTGTAAATCATTAATGATTCAAGGTTAGCGGTGTCCAATATGACAATTTATTGACTTATAGTTAAGGATACTGAGCACAACTTTTACAATTTTCAGACCTTTCTTAGTTCAACTTCTCAAAGCAGACACTCCATTTATGACTGCGCCTAGTTTAGTTGAACAAAAGCAAAAGAAGTTCCGGGATTTGCTTAGCGCAAGGTTCTGTTTTAAGAGACGTTTTCTTAAAGCATAGCTAAGCGAAAGATCAGTCACAATATATGGTCAGATTTGAGAAGGTCTTTGGCAACAATCAGGATTAGATTTGAATTTTGAATTGGCTTTAGAACTACCCTCTCTGACCTTACAAATCTAGAATGACCTTTTACCGCTGAAAATTTCTACTAATGAAAATGAGAAACGAGGAAGATTGGAGACGATGGCAAGTCTAAATTTAGCCACCTCTCACTCATGGCATTGATGCCATCGAAAATCATACCGGCTAGATCGTCGCCCGGGTTACCACGGGCAGCGCAGGCTGTTGGGGGGTTGAGGAAGACTGCGAAAAGTCGGCCATCAGAACCTGCTCATTTCCCTCTGCCAGCCGGGGGCATAACACCACAACAACGGCTGATGAACACCCACCGACGGAACGACGACCACGATAACAGTCAGCAACGGAGCCGCTACCCGTTCCGAAACGAGGCAGACAGCGCGATGCCATTATAGCACGTCAGAAAAGGCACTACCAGTGGGAGCCTATAGGCGGAAATTGGAACATATTCTCATTCAGAGGGAAAGAATAACAGGTAGTTGATGAGCCCATAAAGTACCAACTCGACATTGTTGGACTCTGGTCAACGAAACGCCAAGGCTCTGGACTCTTAAAATTCAACGGCTGCAGGCTATTCTACTCAGGCGTCGAAATCACGACTCGTTCTCAGGCCGGGATTGGTGTACTAGCAGAACCTAACCTTGCCGAGAGAAACATTGATTGGAAGCCTGTCAGCGGAAGGATGGTCATTATCCGAAGCTACAACAGGCTAAAGCAATGATCTTGTTACAGCTTTATATCGCTAATTTGCAGGGAGAATATAAGACCTTCCTTGACGAAGTGCGGTGTGCTCTGTCCGAAGCGCCGAATACAGAGTCCATCAAACTGATGGGCGATTTTAATGCGCACGTCGCAGCAGATGCTGAAAGGTGGAACGGCGTGATTGGGAAAAACGGCCCTAGCGACCTCAACAATAACGGCATGAAA